TGATCAATAAATTCTATATCCATGCTTAATTGGTTACAGGCACTGAATGCAAGCATTATATTCCCAGTTACTGCTATGACCAAAAACCTGATTCCACATATTTCCAAATTTGCTGAAAGAGAGAACTAGATACCCAGTTAAGAAGTACTGATTATATGAACTAAGAAATTATAAATATTTAAGAATTTATATATGTTTTTATCACACACAAACACTTCCACAACTACAATTTAACCCTTTAAAACGGGTTTTGGGCTGGGGATGTAGCTCACTGGTACCACTTGCCTAGCAAGTTTGATAACCTGATTTTGATCCCCAGCACTGCAAAACAGATAAGACAAACAAGGTTGGCCAGCTGAAGATAAATGACCAGTAACAGTCACAACCAACCAGTCATCTAGCCCAGTACATAATGCTGTCAGCAAACATCATGCCCTAACAAATCACTCTTCAACTACTACAACAGCTTAGTGTTTTTCAACAAATGATTATTTCAAAATCCTTTTAAAATTCCTCTTTTGGAATGTTTCTAAATCCCCAAACATAACCTTCCATTGTACTGTATTCATCTCACAGATAAAAAATATAAATCACATTTTACTCTAATTACTTGTGTACCTTCTTCCAGACAGTAAGCTTCTTGGAGCCAGGGACCTTGATCATAGTTGCTTGGCCCATGTACAGTAGGTATACAGTAAATATAGTAACGATTTTGAAAGAAAGTCAAGAAATTATTTCTAGATATTTTCATTCTGTCAATTTACATAAAATTTTTAAAAGTTACCTACATTACCCATGGACACACATTCTCATAGGCCCTTGCTGTAATTCACTTTTCCACTTCCCACTTAAGCATTATATAAATGTTAAATAAGCAAACGTGGGGCTTGTTTCCAGGAAGCACCCAAATCAGAAAAAAATAAGGAAAATATTTAATGTCTTTCATTTCTATTCTACCTCTCAAACTCAAGAATTGTGACTACCTTACATTCTTAAAAAAGAGAAAAATCTGTACAGATCATAGGCAACTTCAACTTATATGAGTTTCATTATATTCTGCAGCCCATTCTTTGCTTAAACATTCATAATGTAAACTAATTCATTCCTTATCCACTCATCAGTGGCCAAATGATCTTCCACAAAGGTGCTAAGAACATACACTGGGGAAAAGACAGTCTCTTCCATAAATCGCACAAGAAAAACTAGACAATCGTGTTAAGAAAAATGAAATTGGACCCCTATCTCTCACTATATTCAGAACAACACAAAACAAATTAAAGACAAATATAAAGCTTGAAATTATTATAAGAAAACATAAAGGAAATGAATGGTAAATAACATTGAACTGGACAAAGGCTTTTTGGATATTACTCTAAAAAGTGTGAGAGAAAAAGCAAAATTAGACAAATACATTTATATCAAACTAAAAGCTCCTGCACAGCAAAGTACACAATAAAGTGACAATCCATCGAATGGGAGAAAATATTTACTAACTATGCATCTGACAAGGATTTAATATCTAGAATGTATAAATAACTGATTAAAAATAGGCAAAAGACTAATGAATTTTCTCAGAAGACATACAAATGCCCAACAGGTATATGGAAAATGCTCAGTTTCACTAGTCATCAGGGAAACACAAATCAAAACCACAAAAAAGGAACTGATAGAAGAGCACAATGCTAGGGCCTGTGCTTAACATTCACAAGGTCCTGCCTGGTTCAACCCCTAACACCAAAAACAAAAGAAACACACAAAGATACCACCTTACCCCAATTAACAGCTGTTATCAAAAAGACAAAAAAATAGGACTACGATCTAGCAATTCCACTACTGAGTCTATACCCAATTACTATGAAGCCATATCTGCATTTCCATGCTTAGTGCAGCACTATTTACATCAACCCAAGTGTCCATCAGAGTATACATACATTACAGAATACTGTCCAGCCATAAAAAGGATGAAATTCTGTCATTTGCAACAACACAGCCAAAACTAGAAAAAACTATGTTCAGTGAAATAAGTCAGGTACCAAGACAAATACTACATGATCCACTCATGTGGACTCTTAAAAAACTATGGTTAGGGGCCAGGGATTTAGCTCAGTGGCTCCACCGCTTGCAAGGCAGGCGGAAGGATCCGAGTTCGATCCCCAGTACCAAAAAAAAAAAAAAAAAACCCAAAAAACAAAACTATGGTTACCAGAGACTGCAGAGTGGAGGGAGAAGTGGGATGAAAGGTATAAAGGTCAATGGTATAAAGTTACAATTAGCACACAGTAAATGACATTGTTAATAACTGTGTCAAATAGCTAAAAGAGGGGATTTCAAATGGTCTCAGCACAGAGAAATGGTAATTCCTTTTTTGATGTGATGGATACACTATTTATCCTGACTTAAACATTGCTTAATACTGTACATACAAACTGATGTAGCACATTGTATCCCATAAATATGTAAGATTATTTTGTGTCAATTTTAAAAAATAAACTAATTTAAAAAATGCAACAGGAAGAATTGCAACTACTGACTCTGAAAGACATTCATTACAACAAGTTTATTCATTTTCGCCTTCTTGAAGCTTGAAAATATCCCGGTTTTAAAAGGAAAATGTAGAGAAAGTTAAATAATCTCAAGATTGAAAACCAAGCCATAATTTCTATCTCGTAGTATTTCCAACACTATAGCTAGGTTGTTCAAATAAATTTTGCAATTGTTAACCATTGCTTTGCTTAGCTTCATATCAAAATGCAAAGTAATAACGGCTAAGGTACAATTATAAAGAAATCTTTCAAGTTCAAGTTACCGCCTGCTTGACAGGATCACTAAAATGAATAGGTTACTTTTTTTAAGGTTTAGAATATTTTCTAGAGGGACTCAAACATCAAACACATCCTATTAAAATAGCCATCACTCTTAAACGCATTCAAATTATTGTGGGATTAAAGTGCATTAAATATTTTACAATTTTTGAAATACATTCAGCATTTATTACTGTTTGATATTTTTGTCAGCACCAGTCAATAAAAACAATGTATAGGTGGTAAGACTGATCACTTAATAAAACTAATACATAAAATTACTTTCATTCTGTTTTTTTAAAATACCTTTTAATTCACTTACAATAATGATGTCACATACCTTCCAAAAAAGTCCAGCTTGGGGCCAGGGATTTAGCTCAGTGGCACCACGCCTACCTAACAAGCACAAGGTCCGGAGTTCGATCCCCGGTACCGCAAAAAATAAAATAAAAAATTTTAAAAGTTCAGCTTGAATGAGATCCCATTTTATCACAATTATTAATCCTACTTAAAAATATCGGGGGCCAACAGTATTTACAGTAATTAGCCTTAAGATCACCAGCAGACACTAGTGGAGGGAAGATATCTTCAAGCGAACCTAGTCTAATCTTAATACAGTAGTTCTACATCAAAGATTTCCTATTATAACCATTTGACTGAATTTTTTAATATTTCAAATAATTTTCATATCTAAAAACCATTAAGAAAAGTAGGTACTTCCAGCATAGGGAAAGTGGCAGATTTCAACAATTCTTTAAGGCCACGATTCAAAGGAAGGAAAGCATCTCTGATTTTGAAGACCTGTTACCTTCAGTGGGTAGCTTTCTGATTGCATATACTCTAGGCAAGTCACCGCTTAAACTCACAAAGTTCTCTTTAAAATAATGAACCATCAATAATTTGTGACAAGTGCACACAGCAATGGAATCCTTTTGTATGTGATCAAGTACTCCACTCTCCAATCTTAAGAAAATATTTCAGAATTTGAAGGCTAACCATAAGTGAAAATTGTAATATACTCTGAAATGATTCACCATTGTTCCACCTAAAGTTCAATATTTCCAAAACAAATTCTCCGTAATGGTACACTAAAAAGTTAACTTTAAATGTGACCTATATAGTGCCTTTTAACTCTTCAGACAAACTAAAATCTTCACCAGAGCCAGAAGTCGCACCTTGGAAATTCAAATTTAACTAATGATCAAATCCAAATGCAGACGAAAACTCTGATTTTTGTCATGGGCAATGTTACCAACATTCTAAAACCTGGGTAGAATGCAGTTACTGGTAAAGTGTCCTTGGGCAAGAAAAGGAAGGAAAAGTCTGCAGCTGACAAAAGCACAGATCTGCACGAAACTCAGTCCTCGCTCGCTCATCAGCAAGAGGCTAAATAGGGAAGACTCCAAGAAATGCGGGGTGAGGTGGAGGTGAAAGGGCAAGAAATTGCACTTCTCAACAAGAAGGCAAATAAAAAACACTCTGAAAAGGTCCTTCAGACAACAGACCCTGGGACAGATGCAGAGACAGCTCTTCTCCACCAAGGAGAGCAACCTTTATGATGGAAGCAGTACACCAAGCAAGCAAAGGAAGGAGTAGACAAGGTCTGTCTCCACCCCTTCCCGAACGCCTCGCCCAGCTAGAAGAGGTCGGCAGAGACTGCCCCACGGTACATCAACAAAGACCCCTCCAGTCGCCAGGCGAAACTCGAACAAAGGCCCAGAAACAGCAAGGACGGGGCCGGCGGCGGGACAGATGAAACCAGGCAAAAGCAAAGGACTCAAACCAGTGGGGGCGGAGGCCCGTCGGAGTGGGAAGCACAGGAGCAGAGCACGGCAATCCGCTGTACACAATACGAGGATGAAGAGGACCCGGCCTCCAGGCGCCTCGCACCCTCTCCGATCCTCGCAGTCGGCATCTCGGCCACAGGGACCGCGCAGTCCTGAGTTCAGGGAAGGGAAGAAGAGAGGAAATTTTCCGCCCAGACTACAACTCCCTGCCCCCAGCCGGGAGCTGCAGACAACCATCACCACTGTAGCGGCGACCACACAAAGGCTCCTTCCTCGTACTCTCCGCTCCCGTCCGGGCGGCGGCGCCGACGATGCCAAGGCAGCGACCACCGCCTCTCAGCCGCCAGGCGCTCACTCGCCCTCGTCCCCCCGGAGCTGGGGAAAGGGGGAGGGGACCGCTGAGCGCCCTCACCTGGCACAGCTGCTGACAGTACTCGGTGGCCGCTTCCACGGCTGGCACCTGGCTCTCGCGCAGCTGTCGCTCCAGCTCCTGGAGCCGCTCGCCCAGGCGCTGCAGCTCCGCGACGCAACCGCCTCCGCCGCGACTCAACCTCTCCTGCTCGGCCTCCTCGTCCGCCATCTTCACACCCCGCTCCGTCGCGTACGCACCTGGGTCACGTGATAACACAATGCCACGTTCGGCGGGGTCACGTGCCGGGCGCGCTCGCCCGCCGCGGAGCACGTACAACGGGCCCAGTGGGCCGCGGGGGGGGGGGGGGGGGGGGGGGGGGGGGGGGGGGGGGGGGGGGGAGTGGCGCGAGGGAGCTTGAGGGAGGTGAAGGCTGGGGAAAGGAGAAGGGCGGGGCTGAGGCGGTGTGGAAAACCGCGGTTCACTTACCCCGGAGCGGGAAGTGGGCCGCAGCGGCCGAAAGGGGCGGGCCAGAGGGGGGGGGGGGCTTCTCTCGGTCACGTGGGCGCTGCGACGGGGAAAAGCCTGGGGAGGGGCTGCCCTCTCCCGCGACTCGGTCGTGGTGAGGCTTTCCCCAGTTCCCGGAGTTTTCCAAGGTCGTAAGCCCTAATCCCCCAAGAGGGCGGCACAGGGAGAGATCTCGGTGGCCTGTAGCAATCCTTGCATAGACGGCTGGCCAGTAGGCAGGCCAGAGGCAAGGGAAGAGGAAAAAGGCAAAACCCACCCATGGACCACAAGCGTGAGAGCTGAGGCCTCGTCTGATCTGTCAAAATTGTCTCTTGACTTCTCTCACCCGGCTGGAGAGGAGGAATCCAGTAAATGAGGCACCAAATCACGTCCCACTTGACTCTCCTCTTCAGCTCCAAGTACGCCTCTCCCCTGGAAACACATTCTGTAGGGGGGGTGGAGGCAACAAAGAAAAATAGCAATTGGGTCAGAGCAGATGAGGTTTAATCTTTAGTCTGAAGAACGGAACAAACTCATGAAAAGCGTAATTTTAAAAAGAATTCAAACAGGCTATGATATAATGAACGTTGTGCCAGATGATTTTTAAACCACAAAAACGTCTAGAGTGATAACCAACTAATCTGTTTCACCCAAAGCAGCCTATACTGTATATAAAAGCGCTTCAAAAGAAAGTAGGTCAAGGAAAAAAACAGCAATAAGGGCTCCATTAAAAATCGTAATGGAGGAGAGGAAATTGATGCTAAAATAAAAGAAGGTTGTCAAGAATCATAAACATCAGCAACATTTTCCTGCCGCGTGCTATAAATGGAGATGACATTCTGAATCATATTTACTTATCAACTGGGATGAATGAATACTTGACATTAAAAGAGTAGATGAGGTAGTACAGAAATCTAAGTGCTTAATCCTAGAATTCATAAAAAACTAATTTTGTTAATATTAAGGTACTGCAGACGAGAGGCCTGTTTTGCTTAAAATATGTCTACAGAAATTCAGAATCAATAATATAGATGAAGTATGTAGACTTCACTATTGTGTTCTGATTGAGGTATATTTTTCTAGCACTACTATCTAAAAAATAATTCCTGTAGGTGCAGTATACTCTTCAAGACATTCTGCTATTAATGGAAAATGTTCTATGTCATCTTCAATGTTTTGTAATGTATCAGTGGTGGTCAGCTTTTAAATGTAGCCTTATGCAAGGTGAGCCTCTGTGATTAACCCCTAATGAAAAATAGTATCAGTTTTACATATTAACAAGGTAGAATATTCAAATGTTTACTTACAGAAGAGACTAGAGAGTACATTCAAAGGCTAAAAAGAAAGGATGCAATAGTTTCACAAAGAGCTGGAAAAGTAACAAAGAAACCAGATGCCCCCGGCCCCCCAGGCCTCCAAAGTCTTGCTCTGGGGCACTGCCTCTTAGCTGCGTGCTTTTTAAATATTTGCTGCTCACCTTCCCAAGTAGTTTAGATATCCGGAAAAGAAAAAAAATTGCAATTGCAATTTATGTTATCTTACAATTACAGTGAAAGGGCCGGGATTTAGCTCAGTAGTTCTGGCACCTGCCTTGCAAGCGCAAGGTCCCGAGTTCGAGCCCCTGTACCAAGAAAAAAACAACACACACACAATTACAGTGAAAAATATAAAAAGAGAAATAGAGATTAGCTAAATAATTCCAAGGACAGTAATTCCAAGGACATATAAGGTGTTGAAGGTTATCAAAGCTGGTTTTGTTTATTTGTTTGTTTGTTTTGGTTATTTGAGACAGGATCCCACTATGTAGCCCTGGCTGGCCTGGAACTCAGAGCAATCCTCCTTCCTCAGCCTCCAGACTACCAGGAGTACAGGCTTGCGCCACCAAGCCCTGCAACAAAGCTATTTTTTAATTTCAAGTGTAATGGCTTATATTACACCTACTCTATAGAAAGAAGGAAAAAGCAAGGAGGGTTAGAGAGGAACGTATCCAAAGAGAGACAAACCCCAGTAGTTTGAAAGAATTGCCAGGGCAGTGTGGGGGTGGGTGGTTGGATGTGAGGTCTGTGTATGCAGCTCAGTGGTAGAGTATGTATATGCATGAGCCCCTGGGCTGGATCTCTGCATCTCAGAAGTAAATAAGTAAATAAAAATCACTGAAACTATAGGTCATTTTTACCTCCTGCCCACAGGTAAGCCTATCACTGAGGAGACTTGATTAGGAAATTGCTTCTGAGCACTCTTACTGTCTGATAAATGTCTGTCAGCCTGGACCACCTTGTCCTTCACATTTATCTGGTCTTTGAAGCCTGCCTCCGTGTTCCTCCATTCCTTTTCCTTTGCTTGTGGTAGAATGTTTAGAGCCCCCAGGAACTGGGAGTGATTTCATTAATATTTGCATGTTGAATACTTAATATTCTCAGAAAGTATTTGGCTTAGGAAAATTAGAGATGAATAAAAACTATCCCTACCTTGAGGAAACAGTTCAGTGGGGAAATGACCAGCAATAGCAATACAAACAAGTGCTGTTTAATGAAAATGCATGTAGGGCCAGGGATTCAGCTCAGTGGTTCTGGTGCCTGCCTCAAAAGCGCAAGATCCTGAGTTCTATCCCTGGTACCAAAAAAAAAAAAAAGAAAGAAAAGAAAAAGAAAATGCATATAGATTCAACTTAGAACATCAAAGTAGTCTAACGTGTTATCTAGTTGGACTAGATGTCCAACAGACCTCTTCACAACAAAGTCCAGGTTTTGTTTTATAATTAAACGACAAGGATTGGAAATAGTATCCCTTGACAGATCTATTTTGGGGATCCAGAAATCTCATTGTTATCCATAAAAATGGTGTTTCAACAAGTACACCTGACAATACCTAATTACATTTGTGCTTTACCAAACTATCTAGTTTATATGGAGCACACACATTCCCACCTCTTCCCCCCACACACACCCCTCCCACACAAACATGACCCATTACTAAGAAGTTACTGGGAGAAATCAGAGGCTCGATCCATAAAACAAGAATAAGCTCCGAGGCCAAGTGACTTTCTCCTCTGGAGAAGCCGATATCTGCGAAGCAAGTACCAGACCATTTTGGACACAGCGCCGCTGCTGTAGGCTTGGGGCCTTCACTCCCAGGAAACATGATTTCAGAGTACTGTATATCTGGGAGCCAGACATGACTGCTACCCTCACCCTGAGGTCAAGAAAGCTGGGGAGACACTAGGGGGAGGAGACAGACGAGTCTGCTTCCGGGCCCCTCGCGCCTGCTGCACCCGGCTCTGTCAGGCTGCACCCCTGATTTCCCCAGGGCAAGTACACTGGTGGACTCTTTCTGTAATTCCTGAAATAGCAAGGTCTGAAAACAGGGAGGGAGCTTTCTGCCTACAGCAAGCAGGCGCCGCAGAGCCAGGGGGCCGCACCAGGGACTCAGCGATCGCGGCGTTTGGAAACGAAAAATCGCTTAGAGCTGAGGCTTGGCCGATCCTCCCCACCCCAGCCCGAAGAAGCTGGGCAGTCCGACCCTTGCCCTAGCGCGCGGGGAGGAAGAACGAGCCCCTCCCTTCCGCGGCCCTCACCCAGCCCCGGGGGGCCGAGAAGCCTGAGACCCAGCCGGCACCATTTCTCCCGGCTCAGCTCCGCCAGCCTTGTTTGCGCCTCCCACCCAGCCGAGGGCAGGCTCGGCTCCCAGGCAGCGGCCTGTAGCACGATCGCCCTACAGCCGCGCGATTGCTCGCATTCAGGTGCCAGAGCCCAGGGGCTGCTGACATTTGCTGCCCAAGCTTTTCCAGCCAACGCTGCGAATCAAACCCTCAGCGTAGTTGCGCCTCCGGGCCCAGGAGCACAGCCCTGCCGGGACCTCCGGGTTGAGAAATTTTGAAGCCTCTCCAGGGCATGGCGGGGCTTGAGGCCTCCAGAAACAGCTCCAGGAGCGGATGCTCGAGTCTGTGTCGTTGAGGCCGCAACGCGACACTGCTGCCTGGTCTTGGGCACACTCTGACTGCTGCTTTCCAAAGGGCTGGGAGGCTGGGCCTCAGACCTGCAGCCTCTGGATCTCAGACGTGAGGACTCGAGGGCCGGAGTCTGGAGTTTGGTCCAATAGAAAGTCCCTCCAGCGTCTGGGAATCTGTCTTGTGCCCTTGGACTCGGAGAGACTATGGATCGCCGCGCTATAGACTCTGTTCAAAACAAACCACACTTTTCCAACGAAGACATTTTCTTTGAGAGAAAGAGCAAAGGAATCAAAATGCTGAAAACAAAAGGCAGGTGCTGGATTGAATATTGAAATGAATCCGAAAGCACAAGATCACATTTAAGAGGATTAATGTTAGTACTTGAGTTAAAATGAAAAGGCATATACGAACAGATCATTGAGGACAGGTATTTTTATTGTCTATTTGGATTTTTCCCTTTATGAGGAAAAGCCAAATGCAAAATGAACATGAATAATAACATTTTAAAGACTGCCTTTGCTGGGCCCGATGACCCAAGACTATTACCCCAGCTACTCTGGAGGCTGATGCAGGAAGACAGCAAATTCAAGGCCAGCCTGGGCTTCATATGGAGATCCTGTCTCAAAATTTAAAAATCAAAAAGGGGTGGGGATGTAGCTCAATGGTAGAAGGTCCCTGGGTTCAGTCCTCAGTAGTAGTTGGGGTGGGAGACCTCAATTTTCCAAACTTCTAAATTAATCAACATGAAAATAATAACAAAATAAAGCTTTTAGAAGCATAAATGCAGTACATACAATTTCTGTAGCAAATCCTTGAGCTGAGTCATAGCACTTCTCCGACAAAGAGAGAAATATATAAAGTACCTTTCCTGTATTTCTACATTTTAATCATTGTATACCATTTGTCAGAAGCCTGGTGATAGTAAAATATCAGAGCATTTCATCTTTGTGGCGTTTGAATTTTAGAAAGATAGGACTGTTGGTGAATGATGAACTTGGAAATATTTTATTTCCATGATTCTTAGACATATTCTTCAATATAACAGCAATAATAATGCAAATTTGAGCATTTAATATTCTATTTGTATTTTGAGCAAAGATCAACCCCAGCAAGCACTTTCTATCACACCTTTACAAAAATGTTCATTTACTCATTGTTCCTCTCCCTAAATCCTCCTTTTGAGTTCTCTGTAACCAGATCTACTTAGCGAAGACTTTTCTGTTCTGTGCAGGTGGAGTAAAAATCTGGGTGCAATATTTATAGCCAAAGCAGATTTGACTTACTAGTTTTGCTTCCTGTTAGGTCCCTTCCCATTCAAATAAACACTCCCAAAATCCCATAGCTTTGACCTATTGTTTACTGTATTTTTTTACTTGACTTTGGTCATTTAGTGTAATCACTGTAGAGCTTACAGTCACAACTGTAAGCTCTCTGAGGCCAGGGACTGTATCTTATATGCAGTCTCCCCTTTCTAATGGGCTTTGGCATGTTGTAGTGTAATAAGTAGCCAATAAATGTCCATTAAATTAAATTAAATTCAGTATACATATATAGAAAGAATAGATCCCTTCTAAACTTCAGGATCTTATTTACAAATGCCTTTAAAATATTATAGGAAACATTTTATCAATAAAATTATCGATAATAAAAAAATACGGAGATGTAGGTTGGTATTAGAGACCCTGCCTAGCATGTATTTCTGGGTTTGATTGCAGCAATCAGGGGCTGGGGAGGAGGGAGGAGGGAATATAACATAAGTATAATCAAAAGAAGACAAGATGTATGCCCTTTTGTTACACTCTAGTGGATGAACTACAAATGCATGGGCTCCAGCTATCTCTCAAACTTAATCCGTGCTTCAGGCTTCATTTAATTTTATCATTGTTGTTATATTTTGTCAAAATATTGATTTTTAAAATCATTTCCTCAAGAGATTCTAAATTTTCAATCTAATTGTTTTCATAATATGATTGATTCTTTTTTCAGTTTCTTCACCATGAGTTTACCACTAGCATCTAATACACGTTTAATAAGAGCCCTTACTACCATTCTAGAAATGTAAGGAGAAAATATAATTTCTGATTCCAGGTAGGAATTATTCTTCAGAGTGGGAATAATCTTAGACCACAGCTTTTTGAAATTTATCCTGTGTAAGGAGTACTTAGACAATTTGACTTACATGCAGATTCTTAGGCCACAACTCCAGAAAGTCTGATTTAGCAGCCCGAGGCTGGGCCCTGGGAAGCCGGCATTTGAAACAGTTATTCTAGGGTCTTTCAAGTCATACTGTTCTAGGCCTCTGGTGTCTAGTTCTGCTTTCTTTCTTCTCTCTATTGCAAGGCCCTTACCAATTTAATAAAAAAATGCTTCAACATCCTCCTTACTCCACCCACCAATAGGGCACGAACCACTTTAAAATGATGATATCATGAGTTGTGGTACATGCTACTTGGGAGACTGAGAGGCAAGACTGGTCTATTAAACTTTTTAAATATTTTAATAGTTTCAAAATAATCTCATTTTGATAACCATTTCTTAAATTTTGAGTCAAATTAAGCAACTTTTGACTTGTTCAAAGCTACTTCTTAGTATTACTATTATTTTGGGAGTAGGAATTGAACCCAGTGTCATCCCACAGAGCTATATCTCCAGCCTCTCTTTATTTTTAATTTTTTTTTATTTTTTGGTACCAGGGATTGAACTCAGGACCTTGTGCTTGTGAGGCAGGCACCAGAACCACTGAGCTAAATCCTTGGCCCTCTTTTTAATTTTTCTTAAATTTTGAGATAGGGTCTCACTAAGTCCCTAAATTGCTCAGACTAGGCTTCAATTCGTAATCCTGCATCAGCTCTCACAGTCCTGGATTTATCGGTGTACAATACTACGCAATATAATATTTAAATAATATTATCAATTAAAATTGGACAGTCTTAAAAATTATTAACCCTACATATTACTAATATGAAATTCCATTAGTAGTCTGTACTTGAAATTACTTATTAACTTAGATGTTAATATGTACCACAAAGGCGACAATTTATCCTCTTAAATCAATAGATGTGTATAAATACAGGGCTAAGCTGGGCGTGGTAGCATGTGCCTATAATCCTAGAACTCTGGGAGGCTGAGGCAGAAGGATTTTAAGTGCAAGCCTAACCTGGGCAACTTAGCAACTTAGTGAGACCCTTCCTCAAAATAAAGAATATAATAAAATCTGGGAATATAGCTCAGTGTGAAGGCCCTGGGTTCCAGAGCCCAAACAAAACAAAACACATGGCTAATGTTTCTTTCTTTTTAGAATTTCTGCCAATAGAATGGTTTTCTGGCTTATCATTCCCTTTTTGAATTAGTGACACAAGGGAAAATGTCTAGATTCCTATTAAAAATTACTTATTTTATACTGTAAGTATGTAGAGATCCAAGGAGATGACTTCCTTTACCTTAGGAGGCCTGTATCTTTTGTTTGTTTGTTTGTTTTTGAGTGCTGCATGTACCACAATGACCAGCTCAGGATGGCTGCATCATGCTGTCACTTCTACTACAGAATTTCCATCCTCAGTGATCCATTGTATTGCAAGTACAGAAAGTAACAAGACTCATGAACACTCAGCACTCAGCTGGCTGCAGCAGCGGTGTATCATTTAGAAAGCAAGAATCATCTCTTGCTGAGCTCTGACTGGCACAACGCAGCAGGGGTGTAAAACTGAAAGAAGAAACTGAGAAATTTGTTTCCTTTCCCTGTCAAATGCATAAAACTAGGACTTCAAAATAAATCAAATGTGCTTCTAATGAATTTCCAAGATTAAAGTAAAACTTAACTTCCAAAGGATCAGTATGTATTGCTCCTGATGAAATTATTAAAAGCTGCTCTGTACTTACTTATTTGAAGTTATAAGGCTATGATTATGGAAACTAGTTTTATGAGAAATGCAGTCTTTTAGAGTATTGGGCATCTTTTATATTTGAGATATTTATAAGGGAATTAAAGACTATTCTTTTTCATTTTATTTTTTCCAGCTTTGTTGATATATATTAGCAAAAATTGGCTGTAGTAAAGGTGTACAATGATGTTTTGCTACGTGTATACATTGAGAAATAACTATCATAATCAAGCTAATTAGCATATTCAACACCTCAGTTCCCTCTCTCCTCCCTTCCTCTCCCTCCCTTCCTTCCTTCTTGCCTTCCTTCTTTTCTTCCTTCCTTCCTCTTTTCCTTTTTTGTTTCCTTTTATGTGTCCCTATTTCTCGGTTTCTGTCTGAAAAAGACTACATTTTTAAACAGTAATTCACCAACATTAATTCCCTGTAAAATTTTTGTTTGTTTTTATTTTGCATTATAAACTCTCACAGTTATTCTAAATGCTCTCCCTCTGAAGCATAGTAAGAGAAAAGCATCTTAATCTGGTAAAGATGATTGCAGGTTATTATATATGCTTTGCAATCTGCAATGTAGGTCATCCATAAAATCTACAGTGAAGACTTTCATGAACAAAGCCCAAGCTTATCACTTCTACCTTTGATCTCATAAAGCCATTTTCTATACAATTACAATATTTTGGATAATGATTTCCTTTTGCCATATTTACCACTGTTCTGTGGAAATTTAAGTTTCTATTTGGGAGTCATATCTTCTAGGAGCCTTAAAACTTGAACTTCTATTATAGTTGCTTAAGATAGTGAGTGGTTCTAGTAATATAAGACATTTCTATAATATTGAGTCTTACTAGAAGTTCCTTCTGGCTGTTAAATGTTTTCTAAGTTTCTGCCATCAACCTTATTACACCATCTTTTGGCAATCTCATCCACTTTCATGGTCTTGATTTTTATTTTTATGAGTATGATTTCTAAATTGATATCTCTAGCCTGAAATTTTCCTAAGCTACAACTTCACGTAACTATGTACGTACTTGCTTGGTGGACAGTCTCTCCTGATGTTTGTCAGCATTTCAATTACATATGAATTCATTAAGATCTCCACCCACTCTTCCTTTCACCCCATGTCTTAGTCACTTTCCTGTCACTAGGATAAAACACCCAAGTCTCAAAATTTAAAGGAAGAGAGGTTTATTTTGACTCATGGTTTTTAGATGTTTCAGTCCAAACTCAGCCAGCTCCAAGGCAGACAGGGAATGATGAAAGGACCTGGGCAGAG